TCAACAAACATATTGCTACGAGAGATGTCTGAGATTTTGTTCCCCATGTTTTCCTCTAGGATTTTTATGGTTTCATGTCTTACATTTAAGTCTTTTATTCATTTTGAATTTACTTTTGTGTATGGTGTAAGTTGGTGGTCTAGTTTCATTTTTTTGCATGTACCCAATTTTCCCAACACCATTTATTGAAGAAACTGTCTTTACTCCATTGTATGTTCTTGACTCCTTTGTCAAATATTAATTGACCATAATGGCATGGGTCAATTTCTGGGTTCTCTGTTCTGTTCCATTGATCTATATGTCTGTTCTTGTGCCAGTACCAGGCTGTTTTGATGACAGTGGCTTTGTAGTATAACTTGATATCTGGTATTGTGATCCCTCCAACTTTGTTCTTCTTTCTCAAGATTGCCGTGGCTATTCGGGGTGTTTTTTGGTTCCATATAAATTTTAGCACCAGGAGTGTACTAGAGTGCACTGCTTATATTTTTTAATATAAGCTTTAAGGTTAGGAATAATTTAAGCACTATTTTAGCTTTATGTCACAAACTGTATTAGTAATATTGTATCATTCGGTTTAAAATATTTTCTAATTTGTTACATTTTCATGACCCATGAAGTGTTATTTTGAAGTGTATAGCTAATCTCCAAACATTTATTTTTAAGCTGTTTTTTACTGATTTCTAAGTTTATTGCACCATGGATGGTAGTCAGAGAACATGGTCCAGCTGAAAATGTCTTTAAAATTGTTGAACTTAGAATATGGTCAGTATACATAAAGGTTTAGTGTAAAATTGAGAAGAATGTGTATTCTGTAATTACTGGGTATAGAGTTCTAAAAAGTACATTAGTTAAACATTGTGTTTTTCCGATCTTCTATAGTATAATTTTTTCTCTTTTTACTGCTGATCTAATTACTCAGAAGGCTATGTTAAATCTCTGGGATAGTGGAGTTGCCAGTTTTGCCTGTAATTCTGTCAGTTTTTGCTTTATATAGTTTGGGGCTATATTATTAACTGCATACACATTAACTGAATCTTTTGTTATTATCAGAAGTCATCTTTATTCTCAAATAACATTTTTTAACTTAAGGTCTATTTTGTTGTTATTAATAAAGCTACACCAGGTTTCTTTTGGTATTTGCTAATTACATTTTTCTATATTTTCAATCTTTCTGTATTTTAATACCTTTTTATATCTCCAGTAAACAGTATGTAGTTGGATTTTTAAAACCCAATCTATCAGTCTGTGATTTAACTAGCAAGTTTAGTCCAAATTACACACACTTTGGTCACTTATGTGTTCGGAATTACTTCTACCATTTTGTGCTGTTTGTCTGACTTATTTTCCCTTAATTCCCTTTTCCCCCTTCCTTGCTTTCCCAGTTTTTGTTTTTTTTAATTCCCTTTAAAAAAAAATCTTTACCTGAGGATGTTTTCATTGATTTTAGAGAGAAAGGGAGAGAGAGAAACATCGATATTGGTTGCCTCCCACACGTGCCCTGACTAAGATTGAACCCACAACCTGGGCATGTGCCCTGACTGGGAATCAAACCTACAATTAAATTCCCTTTTTTAGGTCTACTATTTAGAAGTTAGATACTTTATTTCTTTCCTTATAGTAGCTGCCCTTAAGTCTTAATCTGTTTAAGAAATTTAACTCTAATCTCTTGAACAACACAAGGCCTTTAAACCCCTTTAACTGTAGTCATTACTCTACCATTTTACATGGTTCACTTTTCAGTATTTTATTTCATTCTTATTTTACTCTCCAAGTTCCTGTTACTGTTTTATGAAGACAATGCTTATTTACGTGTGTCCGTATTTACCATTTCTTTGCTCATCATGCCTTCTTGCAGCTTCGATTTTTGTTCCCCCCCCTCCTTCCTGAAGTCTACCCTTTAAGTTTCTTAAATGAGAGTCTCTTTGATAATTCAGTTTTTGGATGGTCTGAGAGTGTCTTTATTCAAAAATTAAGGCAAAATAAAAGTTTAGCTAAATACAGAATTCTTGGTTAACAGTTAATTTCTCTTGGCCTCTTTGAAAATATTATACTAATGTCTTCAGGTTTCTATTATTGCTGTTAAAAAAGCGTATTAGTTTTCTATTACTACCGTAACAAATTACAATGACTTAGTGACTTAAAAGAGCACAGATTTATTGTTTCACAGTTCTGTTGGTCAGAAGTCAGCTATGGGCCTCACTGGACTAAAATCAAAGTGTTGGCAGGCTTCACTCCATTCTGGAAGCCTTTTCAGTCTACTTCCTTGCTCTCTCAGGTATAGGCAGAATTCAATTCTACGCAGTTAAAGGACTGAGATATCAGTTTCCTTGCTGTTTGTCAGCTGGGGGCTACCCTTCCCTGCTAGAAGCTTCTTTCTGGTCCTTGCACATAACCCCCTGCATCTCGTAACCAGCACAGGGCATTAAGTCCTTCTCATGCTGCTATGTCTCTGACCCAGCTAGGAAAGGTTCTCTACTTTTTTTATGTGATTAGATTGGGCTCACCTGAATAGTCTAGCTAATATTCTCATCTGAAGGGTAACCTTAATCACATCTGCAAAATTCCTTTTGCCTGGTAAGGTAACACATTCAGATTCAGATTAAAGCCTGGATATCTTTGCAATGGGCTGGGGAGGACATTATTCTGCCTACCACAAGACCTGTGCTGTCGGTCTAATTGTCATTTCTTTGTAGATTATCTGGTTGTTTTCTCTAGGCGCTTTACAGATTGCCTCTTTGGTGGTCTACAGTTTCACTGTTTCTTGGTATGGATTTTCTTTTGTTCTTGCCCTTGTGAATACTGCTTCTCCTCCATTCTCTTTCGAAATCCCTATTAAACATATGCTCGATATTTCAAAGCTATCTTGTCATCCTCAGCTCTGAGCCACAGGCATCATCCACAGGCATATGAATACCTGAGACTCATGTCCAAGCCCCATCCCTGCAAACAGTCACCCTGAGGCCATTCTTGATGCAGACTGTGGCGTATTCCACCCTTGAGAGGAGAGACCCAAGAAGAGGCCCATCAGGTCTTGTAAGTAGACATAGAGCTGTTTAGGCAGGAAATTTGGGGGTTCCAGGTACCTACTGGCTGGTTTAGGAGTGAAGTATACATGAACATGCCAACCCCTCACTTTGTGGAGATGGGCACAGCGAGAGGAAGGCCACAGTTAGGGTCCTTCTGTCCAATCCAAGGGCAGTGCCATATGAAACAATAAGCATGCTTTTTTCAAGAGGAATAAGGCTGATTATGGCAAGATGAGAAGGAAAGTGTGTTCATGCAAGAGGTTGAGGATGTGAGAGTCAGAAAAGTTTGGAAGCATAGAGAAATATGGATTTCAGAATAGGCAAGAGATGCATGGAGGGATTAGCTGGCCTCTACATTGCAGAACTGAAGCCAAATTTGGGCACAGTCACAGAGCTATTCTCTCTGCATAAATACTCTTTGACTCTGTTCGCTATTTGCTGCACCTGACTTATCTGACTCTTAACAAATTTTTCAGGTCTCTGCTTTAGTTTCACTTTTTTAGAAGGCCTTCCCACCCAACCCGTGATCCCTCTCCCCCTTACATTTTCCCAAAGAATCTGTAATTCCTCATTTGTCCATAGCTGCCTTTCTAATTATTCAGGCTGAAAGCTGTATGAAGACATTTGTCTTGTCCAGCATCATATCCCTAGCACCCAGAAAGTGACTGAAAAACATCTGGTGGTCAAGAAATGTATGGCTGCTTGGATTAAAGATGGTGGCAGACTGAGTGGAAGCTACACTGACACTCTCCCGGGACCAACTGGAATTACAACTAAAATATAGAAAAACCATCCTGAATGATCCATTGCAACTGAAAACGAGCTGGAGAGCACCCTCCTAACCAAGGAGGAAAAGTGGAGACCACATAGGGACTGGTAGGAAGTGCAGAGGCACAAGAGGGCTGGCTGGGCTCCCACAGGCAGCAGCTGAAGGTCCCGAGGGATATCTCAGCTGTGGGGGGTTCCCACTGAGGACTCTGGAAGCCCAGGCTGGGCTTCCCAGCCAAAAGCACCAGAGCTGAGAAAGGTGCCCACATAACATCTGGCTGTGAAAAGCAGCCGGGTTTCTGTCTGCCAGGGAGGGATGGCTGAAAATGCAGGCACCCTCTTACAGAGCCAATGCACAAAGTTTCGCGTGCAGCCACTCACGTTGGGCTCCAGCAGAGGGAGGACAGAGGGGACTGGAGCTGTGTGGGGAGAATCTGGGGCTGTGGGCTCTGGAGAGTGAGATCAGGGGACCCTCGTCTGGATTCCTGTGCCGAGTTATTCCCCAGACTCTGGAGGCATCTTTCTCAGGCAGACAATTTACGGCTTTTGCCTGAGGGGGGAAGCAATTGCCCCACCCTGCTGGAGAGCCTCTCTCATTACCCAGAGGAGTTTCTACAGCCTGAGGCTCATTAAGAGAATCAGATTAATTAGCCTGCAGCCAGAGGAAGACCTCAGAGTGCTTTGAGTCTTTGCCTGATCTGCTTCTGGACCTGGGCCTTGGAAAAGCAGACTTTGGTGCGCATCTTAGTCCTGTCCAAATGCACCCAGCCCCAGCAGTGGAGACCTCAAGCTGAGGGTTGTTGATAGCTCCAAACAGGATAGTAAGGGCCTGTGACAAACTGTGTCTGACATTGGCCTGCACCAGAGACCCTCCAAAAAGACTGAGAGTCCTAGCAGATCTACCTAATACATAGAAACAAACCCAAACAGGCAGCCAAAATGGGGAGACCAAAAAATAAGCCCCAAATGAAAGAACAAGAGAAGTCTCCAGAAAAAGAGCTAAATGAAATGGAGATAAGCAATCAATCAGATATAGAGTTCAGAATACTGATTGTAAGGATACTCAAGAAATACATGGTTAATTAATAATTTGGCCTAGTGGTGCTTGAGTGGTATTGCTTGATATGGCTGAATCCACACAGGTTATCAGTAGAATATCAGCCTTTTGATGTCCTTCCACTTAAAATAATTTCATTTTACGTGTAATTTTTCAAAGCAAAGGTGATTTATTTTGATATCTAAAGCACTGTATAAGATTATCTGGAAAATCTAAAATCATCCTCTGTCCTAAAATGTCACACTCTCATCATTTTAGAAAATAAAAGACTTGGATTATATACTAGAAAAGTCTCTTCATTATATGTAAAACATTTTTGATATTACCTATAGTAAAAGAGGTGAAAGAACAACTTGAAGGAGAGGGATGATCCTGACAGTGTTTTAGTTGGTATCTATCTATCCCAGCCCCAGGAGACAAAGACTAAGATGCCAGTAGTATGTAGCTGGTTCCTTCTAACACAATGAGTCCATACAGACAACCCACTTGACAATTCAAACCACCCTTTGAGTCATCGATGGTCATTATTGGTTAGTTCCTCCAAAGCAAGGCCATGTCAGTTGTTAAAATGAAATGGAGGTAAATCAACAGGACTGCCTCTTGAGAATTTCCCCCAATTCGACTGTGGCGCCAGCATCATTGATTTTGATGAGTGCTCTTTTGGCCATACAGGACTCTGGGTGCAGGTCCACAAGTATTGGGGCATGGCCTGTACACTGCTAAATATAACAAAGATTTCAGGGCTGGAGACATTGTCAACCACACTGTCATGTCTATCTATGGCTCCAGGACTCAATGGTGGGGGAATAATATCTTCCTGATGACCCTGACAGAAGGAGCCTGTGAGTACTTCAGCCTCAAACACATAGATCAGCTTATCTGTGGCAGATGCTTTCTTGCCCCGGAATGCTAGGTTCTTGGTGAAGTATATGCCAGCTCCATACTTTGGGTCTGATAAAAGAAAAAAAAAGTAAACAGTTATTATGATCTGGAGAGTCATATTGCCTATTTGGGTACTAATATATATTCTATATCTAGTCCTCCAAATAATCACAACTTTCTGGTCCCAAGTTCCTGTGTCTGTAGCAAAGAGACCCAAAGTTGTTCCCTTGAAACAAAATACTGATATCATCAATATAATAATAGCTTACATTTAAATATAGCTTCCTTCCTTCCTACTGTCCCTTCTTCCCTTCCTCCCTCACCTCCATCTTTCTTTCTTTACACTTACTTGGAACTTAACCAAACACTGTATCAGGCTCTAGAGCAGCACTCAACAATAGAAACGCAATGTAAGCCTGGCTGGTGTGGCGCAGTTGTTGAACGTTAACCCAGGAACCAAGAGGTCAGGCCCGGGTTGCAGGCTCGATCCCCAGTAGGGGGCATACAGGAGACAGCCGATCAATGATGTTTCTCTCTCATCGATGTTTCTATCTCTATCCCTCTCCCTTCATCTCTCTCTAACAATCAATAAAAACATATTTAAAAATAAAGAAATGCAATGTAAGCCACGTATATAATTTTAAATTCTCTAGTAGCCACATTAAAAAAAAGGTAAAAAAATACAGGTGAAATTAATTTAATAATAAATTTATTTAACCTATTATATCCAAATGTTATCATTTCAACATGTAATCAATATGCAAAATTATTGAGGAGATATTTTACATGTTTTTCTTTGGTAGTGGTCTTTAAAATACAGTGTGTATTTTATACTTACAGTGTATCTCAATTAAGATTAACCACATTTCAAGTGCTCAACAGCCACATGTAGCTGGCTTGTGGCTACCATACTGGGCTGTACAGCTCTAGAGTTTCAAAAATGACTCAGACGTGATCCTTATTTTCAGAAGTTCATAAAAGGGAACTCCCCATATGTAAACAGATAAATTATAGTACAATTTTATGTGGCAAGGAAATATTTTGAGATTAAAAAAATCAAAGATTTCTTTCCTGGGAGTTTCTTCTTGTTCTCTGTTCCTCCACCCATTGAGTTCTTGCTACTTGTTACCTCCGGGGCAGAGAGGACAAAGCTCAGAACAAAGTCAACTGAACAGACATGTATATGATATGTATGCAGGTATGTATATAATAGACAATTATTATTTTTTAAATATGTCTATTGATTTCAAAGAGAGGAAGGGAGAGGGAGGGAGAGAGAGAAACATCATTCCTAGTTGATAGAAACTAAATCCTAGCTGCAAATGATCCCCTCATCACAGCAACTAATGCTATTTGTGGTGAGTCCTCTGCTAATGTCTGCTCACCAATTCCCACACACAGTAGCTGCAATACTGAGGGGCTGATACCTACCGCAGGGCACTGAGTACATTCTTTGAAAGCCAGCTCTGCTTATCAATTCGCAGAACTGCTGTGGGACTTGCTGAAACAATCTGTGGCTCACAGGTTTCCCAGTCATTCTCTCGCTCATCATTTTCTTCTTTATTTGGAAGGCAGCCATGAGAGCCATGTTGTCTATCTTCTCTACCTAGAACCCAAGGGGATGAAAAACTGAAAAAGAGACTGGAGAACTACTATTTAAATGGCCTGCCCCACTGCTTCAAAAATAAAGGCACTTATGTGCATATTCCTTTGCATGCAATTTGCTTTTCATTTCAAAGTACTAAGAGTCTCTCCTGGCCCCAACCTTCTACTAGTTTGACTTCTATCTCTTCAAAATTCCCTGTCCTTTCTTTGACAAATTCATTTAATAAAAATGCACCGAACAATCACGTGCAGGCACTGGTAATGAAATGGTCAACAATATATTTACCGTGTTTGCCCTCTGAAAGCTCCTAGTTCAATGCGAGATAAAAATTATAATAATGCACTGTGAAAAATGCTATACCAGTTCTTTTATTTTGCATCAAGATAGGCAGCTTTTTCCTGGATCTTGATCTATGCTTCTATACATCCTGAATTTCTACCTCCTGATTCCAGCTATACCCTAGTACCTGCCCATCTCTAGCCTCCTCTCAGCCTTATTTCTGAAATTCTTGGTCAATGAGCAGCTAGCTTAGAGCCATCAGCAGGTAAGTGTTTTCTTTCAGCTACAGAACCAAGTGGATTAATAGCAAAATAAGTCAAATCTTTCCCTTAATTATGTATACCTTTAAAACGTGCAAACCACAGTTTTCAAACAGTTTCTTTTGATCCTGAATTTCTGGAGCTGAAAGCATTAGACATTTCAGAAACTTATTTTCTTTCATTTCATCTTGGTGCTTTGGTTGCTGATTAGTCCATTGTCCTAAAAATGAACAACACAGAACTCTTTTTCAATGCTCTGTAAGAGGCAACAGGTTTGTAAAATAATTTGATGAAACAAATTAAAGAAATTTGGAGGAATAGATTAGCCAGTTTAAACTGTATGCCTCATATGTTTAGGGCAGGCAAGGAGAGTTACAATACTGTGAGATGCCATAAGAAAAAATAAGAGGATTAATACATTTGCCCTCAGATGATTTGGATTATGAGGCTGAGAAAAAAAAGAACATTAATATATCTCCCCCCACTAATGTTGTAATGATGATATATAATTGTGATGCTCATAGGAAATGTTTGCATTTTAAGTCAAGATGCCCAGCAACAAAAAAAGAGGCATAAGAAAACTTTAAGGAAGATGAAAAACGATATGCCATTTATATAACAAAGCAAGGTTTTCAAAGAGATTTCACACCTCTACCTCATTTGATCATTACAAACACAACCACAATTTTACAAATAAGGAAATTAAAACCCAGAGACTTATGTGACTTGCCCAATATCACACAGCTAATAAGTAGAGAGATCCAAGATTATAAACCTGGCTTTCATCAGTACTTTCTGTAGGGGGCAAGGCAGAATATTTGGCATATATATCACTCATATGCCACCACCCAACCAAGAAGAGCAAAGTTTGGAGATTAACAGTAAATTGTATCATGTATTTCCTCCATTTTTTCCTTTCTTTCTTGCTTAACTTCCTTCCTTCCTTTTTTAAGTTCAAGGGACAACCTGTTATTGTCCAAAGAAGCTCCTTATTGGACTAAATATACAGGTAGACAAAATGGAAACTCCCCGAAAAGGCTTTCTTTCAGTTTGAGTTTTGACTTTAGACCAAGCATACTAAAATGACCTAATTCCCAGCACATTATCTAATTGAGTGGGCTGAATTTAACTACAAAAAACAGATGATAAGTCCAGAGAAACTCAATTGAAGGTCAAGTTGTAAATCTGGAAGGCAGGAGGGACAAAACTCCATAGCAAAGGAACTCCAAAGCGGAGAAATTTCAAAGGAAGAGACTAAGTTAAACTGGAGAGCAATAGCTCGCACTGATGAAGTACAGTATTAAGTTCAGTTGACCTGAGTTCAGCAAACATTTATTGAATTCCTATTACATGCCATGCACTGGAGACTCAAAATCTACAAACTCTTGCTGTCAGAAAAGCTTGCCAAGAAGTATTAAAAGAGCAACATAAAAGAGAGGAGATGCCTAACTTCTATTATTTAAATTTTATCATTCTGATGGATCGTTGATGTTCTCTGCAGTAATAGCTCATTTCAAACTGATCCATTTTGTTAGTGATGATCTTAATCTGATTAAGAGAGGATGAGTCTGTATGAACCTCTGGACTGCTGCTGTGGAATAGTATGCTTAGTCATCAGCTACTAAAAATGCCACCTTGCAGCAGAACAAGGGACTTACACGACTAAATTGCCAGTAGCTGGGAGGATGGGCCAACCTTATAAATGCAGTTAAAGTAATGCCATAAGCATTACTTTACAGGAGATCAGTATTTTTCTGTCTCTTGTTCTCTTGAGAGGTATCAGTGTCAGTTTACATATCCACAGACATTACACTTAAAAAGCTAAGTAGAAATCATAATCTTGGGTCTCATTCTCGTGTATTATTGTTGTCCATGTTTTTGGGCACTGGGTTTTCTATGGAATGTGGATACAACATTTACCACAAACTCCCACTCACTTTGACTATTTCTGTCTACATTATTTTTATAAACACATGGTGAATATAAGGTATTCTTTGAAATTTTGCATCTGAATTTCTGTACTAAATCCATTCTCTATGTTACAACCAGTGATCTTTCTAAAATACAAGTCTGACCTTATCTTTGCTTAAAATCCTTTAAGGCTCCCCGTTTGTTTCAAGAAAAACTGAATCCTTTCATGGGGCCTATAAAGTCTTGCATAATCTAGGCCCTACTATGGTCTGATTTCTTAAAAATTTCTTTCTTTGCCTTACTAAGGTCTCCTTTCCTTCAGTTTTCTATTTATTTAATGAATGAATGACTTTTTTTAATCTTTAGCCGAGGATATTTTTTCCATTGTTTTTCAGAGAGAGTGGAAGGGGGAGAGAGAGAAATGTCCATGTGAGAAAGACACATCGATTGGTTGCCTCCCGCACC